GTTTACCTTTGTTTACTGTTGTTTACCTTAGTTTACTTTAGTTTACCTTTGTTTACCTTAGTTTACTTTTGTTTACCCTTTGTTTACCCTTATTTTACCATTGTTTACCCTTTGTTTACCTTTGTTTACCTTTGTTTACTGTTGTTTACCTTAGTTTACTTTAGTTTACCTTTGTTTACTGGTGTTTACCTTAGTTTACCTTAGTTTACTTGTCCCTGCTGATGAGTAAAGAGGGGGAATTGGATACCCTTCAATCTGTCCATGGCTGTTGTAAGCATCCATCCATCCATCCATCCATCCATCCATCCATCCATCCATCCATCCATCCATCCATCCATCCATCCATCCATCCATCCATCCATCCATCCATCCATCCATCCATCCATCATCCATCATCCATCATCTTTACTGTGTGAGAGGCGGAGGATACTGGCAGATGCAGGTTTAGCTCCAGTTGGACGCTGGGTTTCCAAAACTCTGATTCACTGACTAAAAGACGAATGTCCTTTCTTTGTTCCTGAACCTTTTTCAGTTTTCATCCAAGAGGTGTCTTCAGTTTCAAAATCCAGTTGTGCTTTATTCAGGCTTGCAGGATTATTCTGACTGAGCAGACTTTAAGGGGCCGAGATGGTGTAGAGGTAGGGCGGCCCACCTGGGACCAGAAAGTCACAGGTTCAACTCCCCACCATGCCCACATGTTGTGGTGTCTCTGAGCAAGGCCAAATCCCCAGATGCTGACACAGCTGCCCCTGCTCCACCTGGGTGTATCTCAGGTGTGATGGGTTAAATGCAGAGAACTAATGTCATTGTATGGGAACGTACAGTGATGACAACACACAGCACTTTCTTTCTTACGGACTGAGAATCAGTAAACGGCTGTGTGACAATCAGGAAAAGATTCTGGAGTAACAACAAACAATCATCACTTCAATCAGCTGTACTTAAAGTGTTTGGATCTGATTTTCAATCAGTTTTCATATTCCATAATTTGTTATGCTGTTATACTGACAAATTAAACAAGCAGTTATCCTGATGCATGCTCAATAATCCAGGTAGAAAAATCTAAAAAAGTTAAGTCTGGTCCTCTGGATGGGTTAAAAATCAAAAAACTGTAGAAACGTTTTGTCTTTCCTCTGAAAGAGTCCTTCAGTCTGAGAAGCTGTATTCAGGTCAGCTGTATAAACAACACCGTCTCATAGTGGATCAACCAGTTGACATCCACAACTAGCTGTTCACACGATCAAGGACAATAAGCAGTTCTCAAAAGCTCCCTGTCTCTGAGGGATTTGAACAGTGAATGTTTGTAGTGTTGGAGAGAAGTGTTTTTCTGAACTGGTATTGAACAGAAAATGTATGTAAGCAGCACAGGGTGACAGATCCTGGTGGGTGGAGGGAGACATTTACCCACCACCAGGGGAAGGGGAGGAGCCAGGGTGTGGACAGTGGAGGTCTTGGCCCCCATAGATTAATCTTCAGCCACCCCAGTCATGGGACGAAACTATTATTTTAAGCAATATAAAAACTAGAAAGCATAGTTTTCTCAAATAATAAAGATTGTTGATTGTTGATCGAAGTCAAAGTTTCTTTATTTGTCGTTGTGGTGGAACAAAATTGTGTACACAGGGTCCCAGTTACATCCAACAAAGTATAAATTGTAAAGAAAAACAGTAATAAGATCTAAGATATGAACTAAGAAATACACTAAACTAAGAATACTCTAGTAGTACAATAACAATACGCTGAAAAACAGCAGCACGAACATGAGTCTGTGTGACAAGATGAGGACGAATGAACACAGCAGCATGAAATAAATCAGCAGCATGAGATCAGCAACATGGATAGTCAGCAGCACATATCAACAACCAAGTGGCATTACAGTGATTTTTTTTCACAGTGATAATTTTGATTAGGGATTTATGAGTCTATTAGCTTCATGGTAGAAGCTGTTCCTCAGTACCAGGTTAGTCAAGTTCTTACCAGGTCTCTCTTGTAAATGAGTCCCCGAGGCTCAATGGGATTAACCTGTATGAATAAAGTTTGAATGAAAAAAAAAAATCTAGTGGTTCTACATATCCTGATGCATGCTCAATAATCCAGGTAGAAAAATCTAAAAAAGTAAAATCTGGTCCTCTGGACATTCAAAAAAACAAAACAAAACAAAGCAAAATAAATTGTAGAAACGTTTCGTCTCTCATCCAAGAGACTTCCTCAGTCTGAGGTGCTGTATTCAGCTCAGTCTCTTAAATAGCACCTTCTCAGAGTGGATCAACCAGTTTGCTGCTGACAACCAAAACCAGCTGATCACATGCTCAAGAAGGACCATCAGCCTAACAATGGATCATTAGCACCTGATGGCTGTTTACTGTTCACAGAGGGCTGAGTAATACTAGCAATCACAGCATTGTAAGAGGGGGACAGTTGAACCTGGAGGCTCCACCCCTGTTTAATGATGGACGATTTTCGGATTTCCGAAATCGTATGATTGTGCAGCTGCCCATCCAGGCTGTCACATACAGGCAAGAGGTGGAACACCTGGAGAGCTGGTGCAGAGAGAATAACCTTCACATCAATGTGAAGAAGACGAAGGAGATGATTGTGGACTTCAGAAGGAACAAAAACATCTACACCCCCCTGAACATAAGAGGATCTGCGGTGGAAGTGGTCTCCAGCTACAAGTACTTGGGTGTACACATGAACAACAACCTCAGCTGGAGCAACAACACCACCAGCCTGATCAAGAAAGCTCATCAGAGACTCTACTTCCTCAGACGGCTGAGACGAGCTGGTCTGGAAAGCTCAGTCCTCACCTCCTTCTACAGGTGTGCAGTGGAGAGCATCCTGTGCTCCAGCATCAATGTGTGGCATGGAGGCTGCACAGCTGCAGAAAGAAAAGCTTTGCAGAGAGTGGTGAAGGCTGCACAGAAGATGTTGGAGTCAGTCTCCCCACCATCACAGACATCTACACCTCCAGATGCAGGAAGAGGGCCACCTGCATCATGAAGACGTTTTAAAGAAGTATTTGGACACCCAGATAATAAACCATTGCAATAGTCCAGTCTAGACGTGACAAATGCATGGATCAGTTTTTCTGCATCATCTTTAGATCAGATGTTTCTAATGTTAGTGATATTACGCAGGTGGAAGAAGGAGGTTCTAGTAACGTTTTTAATGTGGGGGATAAAAGACATGTCCTGATCAAAAATAACACCAAGATTTTTAACATTAGAGCTGGAGGACAGATTAATGCATCTAAGGAGGGAGAAAGACTGAAAAATTCATTCCTAAGGTGCTCAGGTCCAAAAACCAAAACCTCAGTCTTGTCTGTTCAACAGGATGAAATTAAGGTTCATCCAGGTTTTTATGTCTTTAAGACATGCTTGTAGTCTAAGTAGCTGATTGGATTCATTGGGTTTAATGGAAAAATATAACTGTGTGTCATCAGCATAACAATGAAAATTTATCCCATGCTGTTTAATAATTTTACCTAATGGAAGCATATATAAAGTAAAGAGTATTGACCCAAGCACTGAGCCCTGAGGAACTCCATGACTAATTTGGTGTATGAAGAAGATTTATTATTTACATTTACAAACTGGAATCTATCAGATAGATATGATTTAAACCATTTAGAGCTGTTCCTGTAATCCCAATATCATATTCAAGCCTCTGTAGTAAAATGTTTTTCAAACAGATTATTTCTTTGTAGATGTTCACGCAACTGACCTGCAACTATTTTCTCTAGAATTTTTTAGATGAAAGTTAGATTAGATATAGGTCTATAGTTGGCCAGAATTTCTGAATCAAGATCAGACTTCTTAAGTAAATGTTTAATTACAGCAACCTTAAAGCTCTGTGGTACATAACCATTCATTAAAGACAAATTAAGTAGATCCAAAATGTGGACATTAATTAGTGGAAATACCTCTTTAAACATTCTGGTTGGGATGGGATCTAGCAGGCATGTGGATGGTTTGGATGAGGTTATTATTTTTGACAATTCAGAGCTCAACAGGACAAAAACTGTCCAAACATAAATCAGACTCTAGTGAAATTTTTGCAGACAGACTAAAAGATGATTTATGTCAGATTATGAGTAACACACAGGCTGGCTTTCTAAAGGAGAGATCTATTCACAATAATCTGAGACTGGTTTTAGATTTGCTGGACTTTGAACATCTGGTGGAGGAGGATGGAGTCATTTTATTTTTGGATTTTTCCAAAACCTTCGATATGGTGGAGCTCACCTTTATCTTAAAAGCTTTGGAGTCTTTTGGTTTTGGAGAAAAGTTTAACAGAATGATTCAGTTGCTCTACACGGACATTAATAGTTCAATATCTTTACCATCTGGAGCCTCTAAACGTTTTGATATCCAAAGAGGAATCCGTCAAGTTGTCCTGCTTCACCTCTTTTGTTAATTACTGTGGCACAACTGTTAACAAATTTTGTTAAAAATAATTCAACTATTGAACCGTTAAACTCTCTGGTAATTACGCAACTAGCTGATGACACAACCCTGTTACTAAAAGATAAAGTATTTAGGAATTAATATTTCAAAAGATAAAAAATGAATTGAAGCCTCCAGAGTAGTAAAGTTTTTCTCAACAGTTGGCTCCAAAGAGATGTATCCATTTTTGGACGTGTTCTACTCACTAAAATGGAAAATTTATCTCAGCTTATTTACTCTGCCCATATCTGATAAAATGATGAAGATAAATCAGGACAGTTTTAATTTCATTTGGAGAAACAGGTGCTGTTGTATTAGAAGAGCTGATGTAGTTCAGTCTTTAGAGGAAGGGGGTTAAATATGATCCAGTGAAGGAACCATCCATCCATCCATTATCTTTACCCGTTTATTCCATTTTGGGTCACGGGGGTCGCTGGTGCCCATGTCCAGCAATCACTGTGGGAGGGGCGGGGTACACCCTGGACGGGTCGCAAGTCCATCACAGGGCCAGTGAAGGAACCATCAAACTCAAATGGTTGCAACATTTCATAAAAAACTTTGAAAGCTTTTGGTATATTTTTCCTCGTAAGATTTTTGAAGAGTTAGGTGGGATTCATTTTTGTTCAGTTGCGACTTTGAAATCTCTAAATTACTGATAAAATGATCAGACTTTCATAAACAGGTTCTTCAATATTGAAAACTTGTGTTTAAAGATAATTTTTCACCACATTCGGTCCCGAGTTAAAACAAGAGATGCACCGAGATAAAACAAAAACCATTCTTCTACAAAGGTTGGTTGGAGAAAGGTGTTTGGTCTGTTCCAACATGAAAAATGCTGGATTGTATACCTGGATTACTGAGCTTGGACTTTGTTGTTTGGTCTGTTCTACACTTTATGAAAGAAAATGGCAACCTTTTATCATACGATGATTTTATAGAAGAATACACATTAAACTACTAAAATTAAATTTGAGAGAGTGTTAAAGTCCATTCCTCCTGCTGTAATGCAGATGATTAAAGGTATGATTACATATTTGAATGTTAATCCAAAGAAACCTCTTTGATTATAAATGGTTGTGACTTTATAGATAAAAAAAATGTAATAATAAATTCATAAGGAATACTCTAACCTCAATTCTCTTCCCCTGTACATTGAGAAGAAAACATTTGTTTAAAAATTATGATAATTCCTCTAAAAAAATCTAATCCAAATACCTTTCCTATCCACTCCCACAAAAAACTAAAGAAATTAATTTCAAAATTATGTATGAAATTTATCCTTGCAATGACTTTCTGCAAAATAAATTTAATATAGATACCAATTCATGTGTATTCTGTAATTCAGATATTGAGACAGCACCTTTTTTTATTGCAGTTCCATTAATGCTTTTTGGAAAGATTTTCAGAACTGGATTATATCTAAGAGTTCTATTCCACCTTTAAATTTTAATATAATTAAATTTGGTCTGCTAACGGGGAATGAAGTTTTAAATTACGGTAACAACAACTTAATCCTTATGGCTATGTTATTTTATCCACAAATGCCGTTTCCTGAAAATTACCCCCTTGTTCAACATATTTTAAATTAAATAATTTTATTTAAGGAAGTGCTTAAACGCTGCAACCTTCCAAAAGCCCAATCCTCATACCAGTTTATTAATAACTTATTTTAAGACTTGAAACTCCTCTTGCATTTGTAACATTTTTATTTAGCTGTTTCCTCAAATTGTTCATTGTTTATTTCTATTTATAATTTCTGCTTAGTTTGTTTGTTAACAAACTGTGAACATGTTTTTCTTGTTACATTCTTTGTTATGTTACGTTTTGTATTTGTTTTTTGTTTTTTCAATAAAGCCAAAAAAAAAAAAAAAAGCATCGTGAACACATACGTCATCAGTACGCGACAGAAACGGGTGAAAGGCGTTGGAGACACCGTGCAAAGTAGAGCGAGTTGTTTCTGTAGTTGTTGTTTTAACTACAGAAAGATGAATGTGAACAGGTTTCTTGTCCTGTCCAGAACCTTTTCGTACCGAACTCTTGTCCATGCGCGGCACGTCGGAGTTCAGCAGCGAAGGTGCATCAGAACCCATTCTAGAAACCTGGCCTATGCCAAGGATTTGTTCCTCGGGCAGGTGAATAAGGTAATCAGAGACGTCTAACACTTTTACTTCACGCCTTGCTAACCGGCACGGTCGGACAAGTTTTATTTTAAACCGCAGCAGCAGAAAGGTATCTTGTCTAATTTATCTTCAAAATGAACCTGACCCAGAGCAAAGAGTTAGTTTAGTCGAGGAACCAGGCTGGTCGTTATGCCATAATTTAAAACTTTACAACTGTAATATTCCTGTTTTTAACCCACACACAGGATCTTGGTACCATTTAAAAGATTTTATTGATGCTCTTTTACATAAGATCCTGTTTTAAAATTCATAACACTCACATGCAGCCAAGGTCTCATCAGGTCTCTCTTGTTAATGAGTCCTCGAGGCTCAGTGGGATTAACTGTCTAATAAATACTATCTTGTGTATACTAAGTTAGTGAGTACTAACTGTCTAATAAATACTATCTTGTGTATACTAAGTTAGTGAATACTAACTGTCTAATAAATACTATCTTGTGTATACTAAGTTAGTGAGTACTAACTGTCTAAACAAAGGTTGAAAGAAAAAGGTCTGGTCCTTCCACTGTCTTGGCATGTGTGTGTGCGTGTGTGTGTGTGCGTGTTTTGGCATGTGTGTGTGCGTGTGTGTGTGTGTGTGTGTGTGTGTGCGTGTGTGTGTTGTCTTTCTGCTACTAGAACATGTCATGAGTCATTGGATGGATTTTTAAGAAGCTCTTAGAAAGTAATCCTCGTCGTGTGCATGCTCAACAGATGAACTTGATTTAACAGCTGATTTTAGCTCTGCTTTTATCAAACCTCAACCTCCTCTCGTTCCATACCTAACGGTGATGAGTTTCAAAATGTTTTATTGATCGTTTCTTCTTTCGGCTGCTCCTTCTTCAGGGGTTGCCACAGTGAACTAAGTGGCACTTCCTGACACAACCAGGGCGGCTGTGGCTGAGTGGTTAGAGCGGTCGTCCTCCAATGAAGAGTTGGGGGTTCCAATCCACCAGCAGTCACATGTCGAAGTGTCCCTGGGCAAGACACTGAACCCCTCACTGCCTCTGATGTGTTCCATCGGTGTATGAATGTGATGAAGCTCTGATTAGTCTCTTTAGAATGATTTGTTCATTTAGCTTTGTAGAGATCTAGTATAGAGCTGTATGAATGGGTAAATGAGACACAGATTGTTGTGAAGAGCTTTGAGTGTCTCCATAAGATAGAAAGGCACTACTTAGTACAGTCCATTTAACCACAGATCAAGTCAAGTCACATTTATTCATATAGCACATTTCAAACAGTAACTGTTGTCAAAGTGCTTACCAAAAAAGATCACAGCATCAAATATTAATAACAAGATATTACAGCAACATGAATAAAAGCATAAAAACATTAAATATAATGAGAAACAATGAAATACTAAATCAAATCACCCTGTGTTAAATGTCAGGGAGTAAAAGCAAAATGGATGAACACAATCATCAACAATGAAATACCAAATGAGATCACACTGTGTTAAATACGAATGAGTACAGATGTGTCAGTGAGTACAGATGTGTCAGTACAGATGTGTCAGTGAGTACAGATGTGTCAATGAGTACAGATGTGTCAATGAGTACAGATGTGTCAGTGAGTACAGATGTGTCAGTACAGATGTGTCAATGAGTACAGATGTGTCAGTGAGTACAGATGTGTCAATGAGTACAGAT